GGGGGGGGGGGAGCAGACAGTTCCCCAACACTGAGCGTCAAATGAACGCTTTTCGGGGGAAAGGCTCCAGCATCTCATTTGGTTTGGGTAAGATGACCTTCGATTTAAACACTTTGCCCAATGTCTCCCCCCCAAATCCTCGGCCAACCAAGTGGTCTGTACTTTTTTTTTCAAATGTGTTCACTGTGCCCCGCTGTCCACAATCAATTCCTCCTCCCCTAAAACCTTTCCCCTCAGAGGTCAGTGGCCTGCAAATCCTGACACCGGCCGGAAATCAAGAAGCCATCCCAGAGACGAGTCCGGCCTTGGCCAGGTGGCTCTGCTGGCTGGAGCGTCGCCTCGAACACCAAAAGGTCACGGGTTTGACTCCCAATCAGGGCACACAGCTAGGCTGCGGGTTCGATCCCCAGTTGGGGTGCATATAGGAAGCAACGGATCCATGTGTTTCTCTCTCAAATCAACAAAAAGCACATCCTCAGGTAAGAATTAAATCAAAACAAAACAAACAAATGTTTTAAAAAAAACAAAAACAAAGGATGGTTCTATCTCTCTTGGGGGGAAGGCCGGGTCCTCAGGCAGACGGGCAGCTGGCCTCCCGAGTCCTGCCCTCCCCGGTCCGGACGGGCAGCCTGTTACAGGAAGGAAGTAAAAGGTCTTCATAAATGCAGTTCGGTGCCAGACTTCAAAGTATCCCCAGGGGAGATGTGGAAACCTCCTCTGCAGCATAAATGAAACTTGCCCTGTGACGACAGCGGCCTTCCAAGAATACAGTCTTGATAATAACCGAAATATGTAACTGAACTGCGTGTGGTCAGAAGTCTTTCAACACAGCCCGAATTTCAACCCAGGGAGAGGGGTAAGGGGCGGGTGGGAGGCAAGCAGGTACATCACATAGGTGAGCAGACAGATTAGACACACAGATTTCGTGCTATGAACAAGGCAGCCACAAAATATTCTCTCTGCCGAGCTCCTAGGCACATGCCGGACATTGGGATCTCACGTCACCTGCATGGCCCATTTCGTTCCCACTAGAGCCCTAGGAAGTGGGTCCTATTGCTATCCCCAAGTTTACTGATGAGAAAACCGAGGCTTGGGAGTCAAGAAACTTTGTCCAGGGTCACAGCCAGCAGAGAGCAGAGCTGGGAATCCCTCAGGTCCGACTCCAAAACTCACGCTCTCACCTACCAAGGAAAGTGGTGAGTACAAGCCATATAAAAAAAAAAAAAATTCCACTTAAGGTTTCTTAAATTACAACACAGATATAAAACTAGGTCACCCTGTTGGAACCAAAATGATGTGATTGCAGCCGGCAATAAAACTACAGTAGCTACGAACGCGACACTGCCAACTCTAAAATTATTCGCACGCTCGTCTTCCCACTAGAATTGCACAATTCCCGCCGCAGGAGCGGCCCAGCCTCTATTAACATCCAGCGCACGACCCTCTACGGTGGCTCGGCTGGAGCGTCGCCCCAACACCAAAAGGTGGTGGGTTCCATCCTCGGTCGGGGCGAGTACAGAGAGGTAACCGATCGACGTTACCCTCTCTCCCTCTCTCCAAAATCAATAAAAGCATATCCTCGGGTGAAGATTAAAAAAAAATCCAGCTGGCGGTGGGCCCATCTGGAAATCCTCTGAGAAAAGCTTACCCACAGGAAGCGACAGCTCGGCACAGCACGAGCACCAGGCAGGGGCTCCAGGAGCACGGCCCTGGCCTCCTCAGGGAGAAAGTGTGAGGCTGCACGACACGTGGGTCACCACCCTTGGAAGACCTCCCGAGAGAAGACACGGAGGGGGAGAGCCAGAGGCGTCATCGTCAGCGGAGGGCAGAGCGGCTATCACCGACAGCATCTCCAGGCGGGTGGCCAATGCCCAGGAGGCTTCTCTTGGGCCGGTTCTGCCCTCCAGGACGGGCTCCCACGTGGGGAAACCACACCCCTGCCATGCATGACTACCAAGGTGGCACCCAGGCTGGCCTCCGCACTGCTCCCCAAAGCCTTTCAAGGAAGGTCCTAGGAAGGTCTCTGCAAGGGCCTCACCAGCCGGGGGGGGGGGGGG